GCGCACAAAGGCGGCGGCTGCTCGCGTGGCCTTCTCCACCCCGGCGTTCGGTTCCCGCTCCCTTCCTTCTCTCCCGAAGGCGAGAATGGCAGGGTCGGGCGAGGACCTGGGACGGCAGCGGTCCTAGCTCTGCTGCCCCCACGCCTCCTGCGGGGAGAGGTAGCGGGCTGCTCGCGGACGATGCGGTCGCGGCTGCTCCCCAGCGCGTCTTCCGCCCGGGTCCCGGCTGCCGCCTCTCTTCTCCACTCGCTTCATCCCACGGGGAGTAGTTGATGCTGCTCATCGCCGCCGCCGCCGCCGCCGCCACGGAAGCCGCGGCTGACGGATGCCAGGGAGTGCCGCATTGCTTAGGGTCCCCGCCTCCGGGTTTGCTGGTAGGAGCGGCTGCTCTTTCTTCTCTCTTGCTTTGGGGTTTTACAGAAAAGGTAGAGACATTTTAATTTTATTTTCTGCTCCTTTTTTCCACCCTCTCCTCCCCCAACCCCGCATTTGAAATGTACCTTCCCGGAGAGATCCCTCCCCCCACCCCCTCTCCGCAGCAAGTCCGTTGAAATAAAGGGCTAGAGGAAGGCAGAAGTTGGGGGTGGGGTGGGGGAGCCCACGCTGGTGCCAACGCCACCAGAATCCCTTCTGGTGTCTTATGAGATCACGGCACATCCAGGAGGGGAGGAGGGAAGGTGCGCTATATGCAGAGGCTCCACCTAATTGGACCCTAATCGTTTTAAATAAAATCCCACAAATGTCTTTTAGAAATAGTATCTTTGAATAAGCAGAAAGAGAAATAAGCTCCGTTCCCCCTCTTTCTCTTTCTCTCTTTTTCTTTCTGGCAAAGACGCTCTCTCCCCGCCCTGAGCTCAGCGCTGAAGAGCCACCTTATTATTAATCAGAATTTCCATCGTTATCCCTGGCAGGAGCATCCTTCATTAGGGACCGCAGAAGCATCCCAGTGCCGGGGCTGAGATGTGCGTGGGGGTTGTTTTTGTTACATCTTGGAAGAGAAGAGGACAGTGCCAAGATGAGCACCACCCGTGCCGGGTGCAGTTAGGGGTGTTTTGTTAGGAGGCAGAAAGGACAAAAAGGGGAGTGCTGGGCCGCCAGAGGTCCACGTCCCTTTGAAGGAAAGGGGAGAGAGGACCAAAGTGGGAAGTTGTTTTTAGGGAGTGGGGAGAGAAGTTTATACCCTTCATAGAAAAGGTGCGGGAAAGCAGGAGCAACAGGGTACTGATTGGCCACCAAGACAAATCATTTCCTGTGAAGAAGAGGAAGCAGGCAGCAGCGGGGTCTGGAGGCCAGAGTGCAGTGGTGGCAGGTGGAAGAGTCAGCAAGAGAAAGGCAAGGCTCAGGAACAAGCAGAACAATGACTCATCTACAAGCAGGTCTCTCTCCTGAGACCCTGGAGAAAGCCCGCCTGGAGCTCAACGAGAACCCAGACACCCTGCACCAGGACATCCAGGAGGTGAGGGACATGGTCATCACCAGGCCGGACATTGGCTTTCTCCGCACAGACGATGCCTTCATCTTACGCTTCTTGCGGGCCCGGAAGTTTCATCACTTTGAGGCCTTCCGCCTCCTGGCCCAGTACTTTGAATACCGGCAGCAGAACCTGGACATGTTCAAAAGCTTCAAAGCCACTGACCCTGGCATCAAGCAGGCACTGAAGGATGGCTTCCCTGGGGGCCTGGCCAACCTGGACCACTATGGCAGGAAGATTCTAGTCCTTTTCGCTGCCAACTGGGATCAGAGCAGGTAAATCCACTACTAGGGATTCTTTTACTCTCCCATTTTCCAGCGTTTATCTTGAATGGGGTCATCATTTTACAGCTGTGATGTTTTTGTTTATTTGGCTGGGGCAAAAAGAGAAACAGGCACTAAGAAATGGGTTTTTGGTAGGCACCTTGGGGGGACGGCAGGAGAGGGCCTTTATTTTTACCTTTGAAACTTTTACTTCACTCCACCCATTTTCTCCTGCAGCTTTAAGTACTTTCTAAACCTTGTTATTGCACTTAATCTAAATCATTCAACTTCTAAATAAAACTGCTGAATTTTTCAGCTTCTGAGTAAGTTTACTGCTCTGTGGAGAAAGGAGTATGAGAATGGACATAACTTATCCTCCTTCTTCCTAAAGAAATTCTTTTTTTTTCTAAAGAAATTCTTAATCTAGATTCTTCTTCTTCATCATCATCATCATCGTCGTCGTC